TTAATTAACTTCTGCATTGTAGCAGCAGCAGTAAATATACATTAAAATGCATTCACAGAGCTAGATATGTGTATCTGTCTATCCGTCCCCAGTATCACACTGTCTCTCTCTCCTTCTTTTACCCAAGCATACTTGGGCATTGCAGTTTTTCTTTGTTTTGTTGCTGCTGCTGCTTTCCTCCAGGAGAACCTACCTACACAATCGCTGTCCTGAGTTATGAGCCAGTTTTTATGCTCCAAAATATGTCGAGCAACTTTGGGGAATGAAGGGTACCACTACCCTAGCTACACCATCTAAGAACAAGAACAAAGAAACAAAAGTCCCATTCTGTGATGTTAAGTAGTTCCTGTGCTAATGAAGTTCCAAAGTCTCCCTGGTGGCCTGGAGGCTGATTTGGTGGGAAAAGTAGCTTTGCAGAAAAGAAGCCCTGGGAATGAGGGAGGTGGGGAGGTCCTGATGGACTGACAGCAGAGCAGGAGCCAGCGGTGGGCAAAAGTTGTGGCAAAGGTGGGCTGCATCAGGCAGAGCATTGCCAGCAGCTTCAGGGAGGTGATTGTGTCCTGTAGCCACTAATTAACACTTTTCATTAGATTTAAAGACAGCTTGGAGAACAACACACTGCTGTAATGGGGAAAGATTTTTTCTTTACACTTCTAAATAATCCCCGGGGAAAAGTATTTTCTGTCTTTTGATCAAGTTTCTAATGCCGCTTTGTGGCATAAATTGAACAGTTCTAAGCCTTTTATATACACTTCAGCATGTTACATTCAGCACTGCTTCCTTATGCATTCCCATCACAGCAGAAGCACTGCATACTTGTAGCTTTACTAGAAAAAAAAATGCTAAAAAATAATTGAAGAACAGATGAATAAGAAGAGATGCTGGGATTACCAGAATGAAGACAATATTTGTAACTTTCTATCTGAAAGCAGTTTTTAACTTTCATTCAGTCTTCTGTCAGGTGTATTCTTTAGTGTGTTGCACCTTACTTCTGCTTATTTATCTATTCTTCAATGATTTTTAATATGAAATCCCTATGCTCTTAATTTTTGCTTGAACTGAGGACCTTACTTACAGGGTTTCCAGTAAAACCTCTAGTCTATACAGTGCCCTTAGGAGAAAAGCAGGGGGAAAAGCATCTTAGCTACTATCACCTGTCTCATTCTGAAGATTTCAGGAGTTTCATGAAGGACTAGGTAGTCACAGACAGCTCATCTGCCTATAAGCCTTTCAATGAAAAGAAGTCCAACTGTGTTTTTAGAGGTATCTTGTATCTGGCAAACTTTTAGAGAGTAAGCAGAATTTTCAGCTAAATCTTCTTGAAAATAATAATGAAGATTGATCCAATTGTTGCAGAAAATAGTTTGATTTTCTTTTTTCTTTTTTTAAAAAAAAATTAAAATACATGTCTTCAAGTTTATTCTGACACAAAAGATATTTGACTTCTGGGTTCAAGATACAGACTGCTATTCTTAGTGTGCTTGGGCATATCCTCTACTGCACTGAGGGGCTGTACCCTGAGCCAAAGACCTGAATTACTGTAGCATTCTCCTGTTCCAGCCCCCACACACTGTTTTTTAGTCTGTAAATTACAGAGCACTAACATGCACTGGATGCAGGGAAAAAATCTTACAGGAACTGTTGTTTTGTGTGCTCTTGCCTGATTCTATAGTCCAATGTCAGATTCATTTGGAAAGGTTTCTTTCATACATTGTCAGTGAAGGATGCACAGGCATCCTATCTGCTAGCATAGAAATATAGAAATATAGAGGTATATAGAAATAATATTATAATGTAAAATTATAGGTGTGCATGATAGTTGTATTACATGCAATTTAAAAAAATGCCACAAATGTTCTTACAGCCACGATGTCAGTATGATAAGGATGACTCCAGTAGGGATAATCAAGAAAACTACCCAGATTTGCAGAATTCCTGAAAAAGACAGAGATTCTGGTGAGTGACAGAATGTGGAGCTGGGCCGGCAGCTGCCTCCGCTCTCTCTGGGCCCCCATGCTCAGCACAGATGAGCACAGAAAAGGGCTCAGACGTTCACAGAAACTTTTGAAAATTTAACTGGGAAGTATTTTTGTCTATACCACCCCCATGGTTTCACAATAACTTCGTTTATTTCCAAGTTGCTTAGAAGTCAGGGGTTTGTGTTTTGGGTTTATTTTTGTTTTTTTTTTCCTCCTCTGTTGTGGAGGAGAACCCTTCTGGCATGGCCCTTCCTGTTAATCACTATGTGCAAATCACTATTCTGATTTTTCTGCTTTTCATATTTTTTCAGACTGTTTTTTTGTTCTTGAGTATATACCTTACATGCAAAGGATCAAAAGGAAATAGGTCTAAGCATAGAAATGGATTGATTACCCACAATAAATCTGTTCCATGATACTGTGGGAAGACACCAACTACACCTCCCAATCCCATATTCTTTTACAATAAAAATTGAAAAAAAAAAAAAACTTCAGTAGAATTTAAGATACTTCTATAATTGTTAATTCATTCTCTTATCATTCTTATTGTCTAACTTACTGTAACAGTCACTTGCCCTTTTGGCTCCTTTTCTATTAGTAGTATGTTGCTTTGGACAGCTTTTGCATGCAGTTTGCCCGTATTTTTCATTGTAAGATCCAGGTGGACAGAGAGCGCACACAGTTTTATACTCAGTACTAAATCTACCAGGTGGGCATGTTACTGTGTGAAAAAAAAAGGAAACTACTATAAGAATAGAACCATAATAAAATGTAGACTTTAAAAATGAAATTATACTGATTATAGATTTGGATATGTGTTTCCTAAATTGGGATTGCGCTAGTGTAATTCTGGTGACCTGAGTCACACTAGCTATAGGAAAAGACTGTTGAATCAAACACTCTGGTACAAATTATTTATGATGTTATGTAAAATGCTGAAATTTGTTGTCACTTTTTACTTGGTTCTTACTTTAGAAAATTCAGCAAATCTACTTCAAGAAAGACCTCCAGGGTCTGACTTTGAATTGTAGGATAATACTGAATAATAACTTGCGGTTCAGAGCAAATTTGATTTCCACTGTCTTGAAGACTGATTCTAAAACTAAATTACACTTAGTTGAGAAGGAAGGGTGTTGTGAGGATGAACCCGTAGATTAATGAAATGATAATACTCTTAAATAAAATATATGTTTATTATATTTTATATTTTGTTGTATTAAGTGGAAGATGATGACAATAGAAGATAGAAGTCTTACGCTTATTTTGAAGAAATGGCAGTTTACAATCTCTAGCATGTCAAACCTGAGTTATGTTATATTTTCTAAAATGACATCTCGAAGATTTTTAAACGGGCTTTAAAGGAAACAATTTCCCCCTCAGTTAGGTAGCAGAGTCATAGTGGTAACTATTGCTAGCGTGGTCTTCAGAAAACATATACATAGGAGCATGTGATATGTATATACTTATATCCTACATGTATATACATGTACATATGCACATCACATGCTCATTTATAATCAGCAAAAAGATCAAGGTGCTAATTTCAAAAGCACAGATTCCTTCAGTGAAGAAACTTTGGTCTGGGTACAAAATAAAATCAGAAGAAAAAAAGTGTTTCTAATAGCTTGTAGAAATTTAGAATCTTTTTTTTTTTCCTGTTCACATCACTCTTCTATCTGACTTTTGATAAACTTCTATTTATATAATTTTCCTGGATAATGTATTTCAGTGCTGTAGGAAAAACTGATATAAGCATCATTTTTTTTTCACAGTATAAACATTACAAATTTGTTTGTATTTGATAAGGTTTGTTTTCATTTTCCGTTCCATTCTTAGCAGAGCTAGACAATGGAAAACTATTTGTTCAAGGAATAACACGTTGCGTAGCAAGATAGGCCTGCATAGTTTTTCCCTACGCTTGTGTGTAACTAAATCGTAGAATCATTGCCAGTGCTACAGACTGGTTGAGAACAGTCTGTGGTTGAAACGTGATCACCTAAACTGCTTTGGGAAAAAAAAAAAAAAAAAAAGTGCCAGAAAGCACAAAAGAGTTGGACTTATGTTCCAAAAAAAAATGCGCTAAATTTTCCAAGATATGTTACTAAACATACTTCAATGAGTTCCCTGCATTTCAGCTGACCTTTCTGAGGAAAG